TATGACTGCGAGTATCAAAAATTACCTATTAATGAATTCTTTTAGATATTCTTTCTTTACTACCATGACAACAAGAAGTCAGTATTGCTGATCCCTTTTTTAGTCTCTGCCTAAACTAGTTGAGAAATTGATCTTCACATGTGTATTTGACCAGATAAGCACTAATGATGGAAATCCTAAGTTGTCATTAGTTAAGCATACTTAACACAGTGATGAGAAACCTATGTTATTAGCTTGCACTTGCTACTGTTAAGAACCTCGTGATATTGAGTTTGGTCCCTCAATACTGACCAAATGATAGCTTACTATGTCTGTCAAAACACTCTCGCTACCATGCCCCTTGTGTTGTTTTATTTGGTCCCATTAGCTATTTATGGAAAGTGTCTAAATCTACTAATTGGGCATATCTATGGAATGTAGAGATTATCCTGAACACAATAATGTTGTTTCTACTTCCAAATTCACAATATAGCGCCATTCCATATTTAGTAAGTTTCATGTTTGTCCCACAGACTAACTCTTGGTTGTTTAGGAGTTTTGCTCCATTCCTTCATTCAATGGCCCAAGGCCCTAAAACTCATGTTCTATGTTGTTGTCCTTGAACACGTGCTATGTAACACGTGGCATATAGTGGGTTTAGGTCCACTTCGTGGTTATCCTATAATAAATCACCATAAGATAAAGAGTGAAAACCATATATACTACATCATGTGCTAGTGGAACATAATTTGGATCCTAGGCATTTAGTAGTAGAACTAAAGTTTGATCTTGGCTATTTAATTATGGAACTAGAGTGTGATCTAAAGCTTCCTCAACCTCTCCATCATTACTAGCATTGCCATTATTACTAACATTGATAACTTCCTCTTGGTTTAGTATAGGGGTTTTCTTCCTTAGAAGCTCCAACTCCTAAAAGCAATCTATCTTTTGTGCTTTTGGAATTCTTACAAATATTATTGGTTACATTCTGCCATCCCTTACACCCTTTGCAACAAATCAAGTGCAAATAAGTGCCTCAAATGGCATGCCTCTATATCGAAGATACCTGTAAATAATATATTTAAGAAAGATCTTAGAAATTGTGTTATACTTATAAGCCATGAAATAATGCTCACCATATTGACAATCATAAATTGTCATCCTTGTCAATCTTTATAAGTTGCCAAGCCTCCAAATGGCTAATAAGCATGTTATCGAATTCAAGGGACTTCCTCCTCTAAATAGAATCCCAATTATTTATGATCTCAGGTGTGACAGTAATGATCTCTATTGTTTTTGGTTTGCAAAAAGAGACTAAAAACATATTGATATTCATTATAAAGCTATTTTGCTTGAACAAACTCTATGTCTTAATTGACATACTTGGATGCTATATACACAAGGTTTGTCTGCTATAAATAGTATAAGGGGTTTCCTAGATCAAGTCATCAGGGCCTAGCCATTTGAGCACTTCAAAAGCTTTAGCACAAATTCTAAGTTAGCAACATTTAAGGAGTTGAGAGCAATTAATAGATTATCTAAGGTTGTCCACTCTTCAATCCTAATTGCTAATAAGCCATTCCAAGTTTAGTAAAGGAAAAAAGTTATAAATATCAAGGTGGTGGAGAAAGTAATTGGTTATATTAGGGAGATGGATGAAGAACTCTTTTGTAAAGTAGATCTATCAAAGTACAAAACAATATTGAGGTATTATAATAAGCATGAGCTTAAGTTTGGTATTCTACAAATTTAACCACAACTTCATATAGTGTTTAGTAAAGTTGAGATAAAAAAGGACAATGATGAAGACTAAGGAGATAAGACAAACGATGCAATAGTTAAAAAGTTAGCCAATATCTTGTATTCATGTAACACTTTTATCACTTTCTACTCTTCAAGTTTTAACTTTCTCTATTTTTCAAGTATTTCAAATTTGTGTGGAAGGCAATTCCAACTATTGTTGAGCCATGGTTATGCCTTACTTCACTTACCTATTAGGGACAAAGAAACTATCTAAACATACCGGAATAACTGTCGCGAATGTGACTTCAGGTATCGAAAATTACCTGTCGGTTAGTCCTTTCGGATATTCTTTCCTTACTGCCACGACGGCAGGAGGCCGGTATTTCTGGACCCTTTATTAGTTCCTCTTGTTCAAGTGTTAGTAAACTGGGCTTAGCATCTGTACTTGGCTAGATGAGCATAAGGAAGGAATTCCTAAATGTCTATTTAGTTGAGCATACTCGGCCTAGCTTGTTAGTTCTCTTTTGCTCTGTCTTGCACTGGCTTGACAAGAACCCTTGCGTATTGAGATTAGTCCCTCAATATCTCTGGATGATAGCTTACCGTGTCTACCAAACACCCTCGCTATCATGCCCTTTGTGTTAGTCTCATTTCGGTCCCAAATGCTATTTATGGAAAGTGTCTAGATTTGCTCATTTGGCATATCTATGGAATGTAGAGATTAGCCTGAACACAATGGTGTTCGTCCCGTGTCCAGATTTGCATTCTAGTGCCATTCCATATTTAGTAAGTTTCGAGCTTAACTTTGTTTTTTCCATCTAATCTTGAGATGGAAGAGGTCTAAGGTTCAAAAAAAAAGGAAGAAAGTCTTTTTGCAAACTTAGGTCGAAGGCATATATCAATAATCTAGAAGAAACACCAAAGGCACTTACCCACTTTGTTGTCAAACATGGGGCTATGGAAGACTTGGCCGAAATAGTCCTTTAAGAGGGGGTATAAAACATAAAATAAATACATTAATGAAGATTCTAATAATAACCTTGAGATTAATAAAAATTTACAAAACTCTAGATATCAAAGCTTTCAAGCAGCATAAGTTAATTTTCACAAAGTTGAAGAAGTTTATATATTGCCACTCTTAGAGTTCATCTATTAGTGAACTTTCATATTGAGCAAGTAAAATTTTCCTTTAATCTTTTTGGTGCTCATAATTTCTTAGACTTGGTTACCCTTGATTTTTTTTTTGCTTCATTGCAGATGGCACGGGGTTTAATGAATTAATATGACAAGAGTAATCCAACCCAACTTTATTTTGGCATTAGCCTGCAAATGAATTTTGTAAAACTTTTAGGCTGTATTTAGCTTTCAGGGCAACACTGTATCATGAAGAAAACTCTTAATAATATACCACCCCATATGAAGGCTGTAATTGAGTTTATGGAGATGCATCTAGAGCATTATAATATGTATGTTAAGAAGAAGTCAACTTTCATATCAAAGCTTGTTGATGATCATGTATAGAAGAAGAGAGAAGCAAAAAAGATATGAGAGAAGAAGAAAGTTATGTGTGGATTGTGTGTGGATTGAGATATAATTTGCTATAGCTATAATAATATCTGGTATTTCAAAATTACAACATAAGGTATAGCTATAATTATTAAATAATCTAATATATAGTTATAATTTATTTGATTTAATTTATTACATAAGAATATTCTTAGCATAAAGAAATATTTGGATGCAACAATGAAGTTAAGTGATGCTTCAATGGGTGATCTTGAGGAAAGTTAATAATTTTTAAAGAGAACAGCAAGTGCCAAGACAAAAAACATAAAAGATTAAATTTAAGCTAGGAAAAAACTAAGACACTGGTATAAGTCCAAATTAATTTGTAGTTGTTTAATATAGAGTAAAGCTATGATAACATTTGGAGCTCTAAATGTATTAAGAAGGAACCAAATGATAAATATTATTACAGGGATTTCAGCTTTAATTTCACTTATTTCCTCAGTTGATATACCAAGAGGTCAAGTTGTAACCAATAAAATTCAAATAAGAAATGACAATCATGGCGTGTATACTATTACAGTTAATTATTGGATTTTTAGTATAACTCCTGGTAAGACTTTTGGTGAATGTTCTGTAAATCCAGCAGGTGATATAGACAATGGAGCTATTATAAAAAGGGAATTAGAAAATCTAGTTACATTTTACCAAAATATATTAATTAACTCAGGCTCATCTTTTGTTACAATTATGACAAGACTATATGCTCTTGAGTATTCAATTGATAATTATAGACCATTTCAAGCACAAACTAACAGGCTTCAATATATAAATTATTATCAGTGTTTTGCTTTTAATAGTATGCTACTAGGTGGTTATTTTGATATGCCCTACCAATATTTAAGTACTGAGCATTTTTTGATTTCTCCAAACAAGAAAGTAATTTTATATTTACATAATAGTTGTAATCTTGTTTTATATATAGGTAAATATAAAATATGGTCTACAGAAACATCAGGCCATGGTAAAAATTGTAAATTAAGACTACAAAGTAATGGAAATTTAGGATTATATTCAGAGGATGGTATTATAATTTGGTCTCCTAATAATAAAAGCTGTTTTAATTGTTTTTTAAATATATATTTTATTGTTCAAAATGATTGTAACTTAGTTTTATACCAATCAATAAGTAAAGTACTTTCTACTCATCAGCCTACTGTAATTGTTTTATGGGATTCTAAATCTTATCCATGTTTGATTAATTAAAATTTATAATACTAGAAAATAATTTCTTAACTTGATCTTAAAGACAGTCAAAAATAGAACTGCTAATTTTTTATAATTTTTTTGTGTATATCATACACACTTTAAATAATTTGCTACACATTACATGCAGCAATGATTGGTTTCCTTAATAGTAGGTTTATTCTTATTTATTAAAATGGAAGTTTATAATTTATAAACACAATATTAATCTTATTGAGTATCAACCATTAGATGGTAGAAGAAACTAAAATATACTAGAAAGTGTTTAGAAAAGTTTATAAATTATAAACGTATTTATAAATTATAAATATAAGATTAATCTAAATAAATAACAACCATTAAATAATAAAATATTCTAAGCATATTCTAAGCATATTGTAAGCATATCCACTACCACCCACTCCCTTATAAATTTGCTAAAGCAAATAAAAAATTCTTGAGAGAAAATTTAAAATCCCCAATCAGAAGATCACTGTTAGTGCCAAATTCCATAGAGGCCAAACCAATAATTCAGTCAATGCTTTTGAGTTGAATAAACTGCATCTACATCTTCTAGTTCCAGTAGTTTATCGATCAAAGCCCTATTCATTTCCATTGCTTCATCATCAACCTGTAAAATCAAAAGAAAATGGATCAATCCAATGAAACATGGAAATCTCTTTCATACCTCCACTAGCTCAGTTGGTACAAGCTCTAGACCCGAATTATCCATGTCAATCGAGAACCCCGCATCCTTGAGCCCAGCTTTGACACGCCCGAAATCATCCATCGCCGTTATCACCTTGAAGTACCTTACATCAACCAAGTTCCTTATTAAACTAAAAAAAAAAGAAACACAGAATTCTACAAAGAAAATAGCTTACTTCTTCTCCTCTGGACTTTCACCGTCCTCCAATTCAGGTTCCACGACGTCCTCAGCTCCAGTGTCCATCGCTGCAGCCAGAAGACTTTCGGAATCCACATTGCCTTTCACAGCCACGACTCCAGCCCGTTTGAAGTTGAAGAGGACCGAGCCAGAGGCAGCCATTTTGGCATGGCTCTTTTTTATAACATCGCGAACGAAAGAAGAAGCTCTGTTCGTGTTGTCCGTGAGAACTTCCACCACGATTCCAACACCACCAAAGCCGTAAGCCTGCATTGTTTCAAACTCTCTTGCAGCGCAAACAAAACGCAATGTGAGTTACCTCATATGTGATCTCCGTGAAATCCTGCTGGTCCTTGTCTTTCGCTTTCTTAATGTTGCGTTCTATGAGATCTTTCGAGACATGAAGCTCCTTCGCTTGTTGCACTAGCGCTGCCAGTGATAAATTCGATGACAGGTTTGTCCCGCCTTCCTTCGCCCTGAAAAAACCGATCCAATTAGCAACAAGCGAGAGAAAAAATCACAAATGCGATACGCTTGCGCTATCTCTTTGCCAAGCCTAGCATTAACTTTGTTTCTCTTCAAGCCCTGTGCCGCCTGCAGCACTGCTGATTACATTAGAAGCTTCAGACGAGAAAGAAAACGCTAACCTTCCTGTCCGCAATCTTGCAAGCTCGCCTTCCCATTTCCAGAAGAGCAGAGGTCCATAGACGCTGAAAACAACTCGCATTTCCTGCGGTGCTGCCATGACGAACATTTCCGCGATGTGCTCTCAAGGCAGCGACAACTGCCTTCATTTGCAAAACCCTAAAACCCTAGAGATCGAGAAGGAAGCATTAAGTAAAACACAAGAAAAAAACTTGCTATAGAATTCATGATGATACTCCAAAACATCTTTCATCCCGTCCCACAAAGGAGGTTGTGAAGAATTTCTTGAACATAAACATGGTGGCTACTGCTGGAGGATCATCATCCAATGTTGCGGGGAATAATGCAACTGGAGAGGTCCATTCTGAGCCTGATGCAGAAGCCATGTATGTGCGAATGAGTAACAAGCGTCCATGCACTCAAGAATCTGGATAAAGACAACAGCAACAACATCAATACTAGCAGCAATAGCATCACAAGCAATTAAATAGTGGTGGAAAGCACACTGATGATGGACTTTCCTTGCTTGAACAATGTAAGGGAAAGTTTGGACCAAAGTGCTGTCATGGACTTGGACACGAGGTGAAGGATTGCCCATCTCTCAAGGACATGAAGCAGAAGAATTGTACTCAAGCAAACATTGCTAAATTTGAGGATGGTGAACCACATGAGAATGAAGGTATATATTTCTTCATGAATTTGTATATCCTATGATTGGATCACAGTGGATTGGTATACAACGCACCATTTGTCAGAAAATAAGTTTGCTTTCTCAACACATTTGAATGTATACATCTGGCAGTTTCTAACCTTTTGCTGTAAAGATACAACGTTTTACATTATGCAAGTTCTCGCTTGGGGAATCAATTCTTCATCAACATGTCCGGACTGAGTGAGCCTCTAGCAACTGGACCTTTCTTCAATGGGATTTCGCCATCTTAGTCCCCTGATTCACTCGGTTATAAAGTCATTTGTAAGGTTTTGCCCGCAGGTTCTCTGAGAAGTCTCAGCTGTTGCCACCGTTACTTGTTCATTGTCATGGAACCCTGCCATTAGCCTGGGAAACCTGGTGAGGGACAGTGCTGTCAAGACTGGCACTTTATTTGCAGTGGACAGAAGTTCGGTAATCAAGATAGAACTCATCGAGAAGCATATCCTAAGGGAACTGACTCGTGAAGCCCTTTGGCTATTATGGCTTCAGGTGAACCAAATCCGGAGCAGCAGCTGGGAATGCTTTGGTGAGCACTTTCAAGTTCTTATGCTTTATGGCTTAGCATTTACTTTCTTTTAATCCAGCACTCTGCTGCTGCTTTTGCAACTGTCCATCTAGGGATTCAGTAGCAATGCGGTCACAGGGGTTCACAGGTGCAGTTTCTGTGGAGCTGTGATTGACGTGGCTGGTCCACTAAACAACTCCAACTCATGAAAGATTGTGGGGAAAGATATGTTCATTGCAGGCTTGACACTAGAGTTGAACAGCACAGCGCATGAACTTCTCGGTTGGCTCCAGGAAATTTTAGTGAAACTATAAATAAGTCCCTTTTGACCTTTTATTATGTTTTGAGTAGAAGCTGAAAAATTGAGCTTGTAATATATTACAAACATTATAAAGTTCTAGAGGATACTTTTGTCCAAGAACTTAAATACTTGCTATGTGCTATAATAAAGAGGATTATCAAAACATAAAATAAGATAAAATTTATTTGTAGAAAAAGTAATTTTATCACTTCTTTAAATCTATACTATTGTGAGGGCCAAGTGTACGGCTATGATGCCATATACTAATATTAGCGTAGTGGATTTTGGTAGCTGTCGGATTGGTTTCAATCCGGACCACTCGCTCCTGTATATAAGTTAGGGTTTTTGGGTTAATTGATATGCACATTTCTGTATTCCCTTTCCATATTCCATGCACTCACATTGGTGGAGATGAGGGGCACCTTTGATTGTCCCTGGGGAGTGCTTGGATTTGGGATTTCGGTTTAGATCTAGCTTTTGCATTGTCTAGATCTAGCTTTTTCCATTTCCTTTCTTTTGTTCTTTCCTTTCAGGATTTTGGTTTAGATCTAGCTTTTTGCATTGTCTAGATCTACCATTTCTTTCCAGCTTTTTGTCATTTCTCTTCTTTTGCTCTTTCTTTCTCATTCATTTTCATGGCCGATCCCCAATCTCCTCCTTTGACTCTAGAGCAGCAGTTGGTTCAATTGCTTGATGCTATGCGCTTGCAATTGAACAACCAAACTCAGTTGATGGCGGCGTTCACGGCACATGGTACAACTCCTCCTGCTTTTGGTGCCAATCCTCGCGTTCGGCCGGAGTTCTTTCGTGGGAATCCTGGGGATGATGTGTACCATTGGTTTGATCACTTCACGGTGATTGCCACATATCATTCTTGGGATGATGCTCGACGTTTGCGTGAGTTCCCCACATGTCTTCAAGGGACGGCATTGCAGTGGTACAATGGATTGAGCGCAGCTACTCGTGGCGATTGGAGTGTTCTTCCGGACGTCTTCAAACACGCCTTCGGACACGCCGACGATTGTGATGATGCCTTCCAACAATTGCATCGTCTTCGCCAAGGGCCATCTGAGTCAGTGATGCAATTTGGCGTTCGTTTCCGAAGTCTTTTTCTTCGTGCGGAGCCAAATATGTCGGAGCGGATCAAGCTAGGAATGCTGTGGCCAGCACTTCGTCAAGATCTTGTCGGACTTGTGCATGCACTTGCTCCTGCCACTCTTGACGATGCTCTTCGCTTGGCACAACGTTATGAGACGTCGCCTCTTCCACTTCTTGCTACACGTCCTTCAGCTCCACTTCCTATGAGTGATGGTCTTGTTCCCATGGAGGTTGATGCTGCTGCTACTCGAGTCCAAGGACAAGGGCAAGGACGTGGTCGTGGCCGTGACATTCGTTGCTGGGCGTGTGATGAAGTTGGTCATACTTATCGGCGTTGTCGGCGCTTTCTGGATTGGCGACCTCCATTTCCTGGGTGGAGACCTTGGCGTCAGCAACGTCCCGTTGGTGCTGCTGCGGTGGAAGGTTTGGATACCGAGGTGCATTCGGGAAACGAGGAGTCGCGCGAGTAATGGAGGGACCTTGTGCGAATAAGTTAGTGACCCCTCCATCTTTCTTTCGGGAGTATCATCAAGGGGTTCACTCGGCACCGGTTCATCCAGTGTTTACTTTCCAAGCTCGTTTTTATAACAAGAGGTCTCCTATTCTTCTCTCCGTGTTGGTTGATACAGGTTTGAGTTTATCTTCTATTGCTCGACCTGTTGCCACACGTTGTCGTCTACACTTGCGTCATGCGGCAGATCCAGTTTTCATTCTTTATGGCAACGGCCGTACACATGCATGTGCACGAGATGAGGCGGACCTGGTTGTGCGTGTGGGCGATCTCGAGCTTGAGTTGCAGTCGTTGCGGGTGGTGCCGAGTCAAGCTTTTGACCTCATTCTTGGTATGGATTGGTTGCAGCACAATCATGCCAAGTGTGACTTTGAGGCTTTTCCCCCTTGTCTCATACTTCCTTATGTTTCATCCATTCCTCTCACTTCTGTACCTCTTCGTCCCTCTACTTCTACCTCTGCTTCCATTACTTTTGTTCCCCCATTATTTCCTCTTGTGTTTCCATCTTGTTCTGCTCTTCCCTTTTCCGATCCCTCCGATGATCTTTGTGTTGCAGCTGTTGACCAGTTCATGAAGGAGTATTCTGATCTCTTTGAATTTGACCTATCGTCTGGGGCCAAGATTGCCACACATCATCCCATTCCAACCGGGGATGCTCGTCCAATCAAGGTTCCTGTTCGTCGTCGGTCACCCAAGGAGATCAAGATTTTACGTGCAAACGTCAAGGAGATGTTGGAGAAGGGTGTTATTCGGAAGTCGCAGAGTCCTTGGGCATGTGAACCTCATCTTATGACGAAGCCTGATGGGAGTATTCGTTTCTGCATCGACTATCGTCCGTTAAATGAAGTGACGATCCCGGACGTGTACCCTCTTCCTCACACTGCTGATCTCTTGGATTGTCTAGGGCGAAGTCGTTGGTTCACCAAGCTAGATCTTGCTTCTGGGTATTGGCAAGTACCGATGGTTGAAGACGATATTCCTAAGACTGCTTTTCGTACACCATTTGGTTTGTACGAGTTTTTGGTGATGCCGTTTGGTTTGAACAATGCTCCAGCAACTTTTCAGCGAATGATGGACGAGGTTCTTTGCGATATGCCGGAGGTGACGGCTGACTTCATTGATGATGTCTTGATCCACTCGGAGGGGACGTGGGAGGAGCATGTTCGTGATGTTTGTAAAGTGTTGGATCGGCTACGCGACGTTGGTTTAAAGCTGAAGTGGTCGAAGTGCGTGTTTGGGTCCAAGGACACAACTTATCTTGGGTACCGTATTTCTCGTGAGGGTTTGCAAGTTGATCCTGACAAACTTGTGGCTGTTCTAAAGTTCCCTACTCCGAAGTGTGTGAATGATGTGCAGCGCTTTTTGGGTAAGGTGCAGTATCTCGGTCCTTTTGTGGATCATCTTTCCGATCGCACTTTACCATTGCGAGCGTTGCTGAAGTCATCAACGTCATCTTTCATCTGGTCTCCCGATTGTGAGCGGGCATTCGTGAATCTCAAAGAGCTATTGACGACTCCTCTGGTTTTGGCATATCCTGACTACACTCGACCTTTTATTTTGCGCGTGGATGCTTCTGACATTGGTCTTGGAGGTGTGTTGATGCAAGAGAGCTCGAGTGTGCCTGGTCAGCGCCATCCCATTGCATACATAAGCCGTACATTACAACCAGCGGAGATGAACTACTCCACGACAGAGAAGGAGTGTTTAGCAGCAGTCTGGGGTTTCGAGAAACTTCATGCCTATCTACATGGTTCTCGGACGTTACTTGAAGGTGACCATGCTGCTGTTACTTCATTATTGAAGCGGAAGAACCTGGTTGGTCGTACGGCTCGATGGGCTTTGAAGCTTCAGATATATGATTTCGATGTTGTTCATCGCCTAGGGAGTTCTATGGCTGATGCTGATGCCCTTTCTCGAGCTCCTCTTCCTTCTCCACTCACTTCTCATGTTTCTGACGAACCTATTGTTCCAGCATCTGTGGATTTTCTAGATGAGGATTCTGTGCCGTCGGCGGTTGCTGTCCTTGA